TAAGAGTAGAAGTTGCGCGTGTGTTATGGAACCCTTAACACCGGCAGCGGGCGTTAACCAGACACAAAACTATGGCACTTGATATCAACGGGTCGTCAGGCGCCTGGTTGTTCGGCTGGTGGCATGATTTAACAGAGCTGGGGGTGGGGGGGGGGAGGTTGGGGGAAATGACACAACCTGCCCTCAAAAGAAAGAGCAAAGACATCTTCTCGGACCCGACACACTTTGTTCTTAAAGTTGGGAGGGGGGGGGGGCGAGCTTCAATCCCTTTCACAACTGAGTTGGAAGCTACATCTTTGTGTTCGGCATGATGAGTTCAGAGTCCCCAAGTCGAGCTATTGACCTTCGTTATGTAAAGAGGTACTGTTAAGCGACGTTATAGACCGGACACTCAATATATTGTCAGTTCTCGGCATTTCAGCTTGTGCTGATGGTAACGAGTATGCTATCATGAGCACTCAGTAGTTCCTCGTGCACTTCCTGTGGGCTTTTGTCCCTTGAAACTTTTTGTCTTTTGACCTTTGTTTGGACTTATCCCCGTCAACTTTAATCCCTGCTGGCTTGTAGTCCTCGTATTTTTTTTCCATTTCGACTTTTTCCGACTAGACGGTTTTGTAACTCGAAATTTTCGATTCCACTTTTTCAATACAACTTTTCTGTTTCTTCTCTTCTCCCATTCGCCTTTTGCCCGGGCCGACTTAGTTTTTTCGATGCGACCTTTATCCGTGTCGACTTTTTGTTGCGAAACATTTCCGCTCGACATTTTCCATGCGTCTTTTTGCCCGGACGTCGGGATCGATCCCTCGCTTATTGCACGTCACCGTGTGTGCGTAGGATGGCAGACGCCGGACGTGATCGGCCCCAGGAGTCGGCTGCAGGGTCCGTTCGCGACATCGGCCCCCGTGGGAAATCTGGCCGGCTTGAGATAAGTGCTCGGGCCGTGCATTGACCTTCGGTGGTGCGGGTGGAACAGGCTCCTGCCCTGCCGAAGCTGGTTAGCGACGCGGGGTCGTTCTCTCGGCACGCAATCGGACTCCGGCGGTGAAGCGCCTTGGGACGGAGGCGTGTTCACTGGCAGCTGTGGTCCTGAGCCGCTGGCGAGGGGCGCCTCGCCACGCTGGATGACGCTGGACTCGAAACGCAGCGCCGAGCGCGATACGATCAGCTTGACTGGACGCTCCCTCAGGCGGTTGGTCGAATTCGCTTACGTCGTATGAGATCAGGCGAGCGTTAAGATGCTCTTGGTGTAGCCTTAAGCGGAACGCGAGGCCTGAGCGAGACAAAAAGCGGACAGCCCTGGACAAAAAGGGGGAAATAATCACGTGGTGAACGACGCAGTTGGATCCAGTTAAAGTCGATACTATCACCAACGGATTTCTTGCCACGCGCAGTGCAGGGGGAGACCTCATCTCATTCGCCACCCCCAAATCCGCCATTTTTTCATCATCGCTGTCACCGTCAACATAGGCATTGATGTCGCCGTCATCAGCATTACCTTCATCACGCGGTTATCCCATCACGGCAGGGACGGCCACCACGCGACAATTAGGATCATGATTCGCAGCGTTCGCAAAAATCGCGAACCGGATATTTCCAAGTGTCACGCTGTTGAACGTGTTATAATAAGCACCTTGTGAGCGAAATTTACTAACTTTTTCGACGGGAATTCTTCATGACACCGCGCAGCTCACTGTCGAGCAACGCGGTGCCGCGAAGCTGACCTCGTTAGTGAACTTTTGGGAGAACATGGCTGATTGGCCTCGATGGTATGCATCTATCAAAGCTGTCCGCCGCTTCAGTGAACGCAATCTGTCTGCTGTCGTGTTGTGCTTGCGAACGCCGCGCTACAATCGATAAGTTTCTATTTTTGGCCTTTGCCCGAGTATAGCTCGTAACGCTGGCCTCTGAAAGCGTTGGAACGTGCATTAAATGCAGCGGTCCTAAATAATCTACTCTTGCTAGCGCAACGTTACATGGGCCAGTTAATACTACATACGTTGCGAGCATTGCGGATGTAAGAGACACCATACATTAAGTATCGCAGGTTATTGGCTGCCCTGGCATGCACTTAGACACTGACCTCCGAGACAGTTCGCGCAGTCAAGGTACCGGATAACGTCGCCACTCATCTGAACTAGCTCAGTTTCAAACACCGAAGGCTAGCTCCCTGTTGCATCCGTGGGCAGGAAGTACTGACAGTAGACAGTACTTACAATCTTACTTACTTACTTACTTAGTACTTACCTGCATCGTGGGCAGGAAGTACTGACAGTAGACAGTACTTACTTACAGTACAAGTAGACAGTAGACAGTAGAGTAGTAGTAGACAGTAGACAGAAGTACAGGAAGTACTGACTGAAGTAAGATCACTGACACGTGACTGGCGCTGGAGTCGGCGAAGCGCAGGACTTGGGGCTTGGGAGCGAGTTGTCTGTTGCTGGGGTCGGTGAGACGGAAGGGCTTGTAGTTTGGGGCGAGTTGTCTGGTGCTAGGGTCGGTGAGACGGGGGGCCTCAGAGCTTGGGGCGAGATTTTGTCTGTTGCCAGGGTCGGTGTGAGGCGGGGGATCGGAGCTTGGAGCGAGTTGTCTGTTGCTAGGGTTGGTGAGGCGGAGGGTACGGACTTGGGTGATGATTGTCTGGTGCTAGAGTCGGTGAGGCGGACGGCTCGGAGCTTGGGGCGGGTTGTCTGGTGCTGGGGTCGGTGAGGCGGACGGCTCGGAGCTTGGGGCGGGTTGTCTGGTGCTGGGGTCGGTGAGGCGGACAGCTTGGAGCTTGGGGCGAGTTGTCCGACGCCGTCAGGGCCCCGAAAGACGAGCATCCCCGAGACTCAGTTATGGTATGACTACCCTGCCAATACTTTGCCTATTCCATGCGGAATGTGCGAGCAGAGAATATGAGGAAAAATGACGCGTCAGGCTCGTATGTTATCTTCCAACTATATCAAGTACTTCTGCGACATCTGTTACGGTTCACATGTCAAATCAGGACAAACCTAGTGCGCCCATGTTTATACCGCCTCTGACGTATATAACCGTATCTGTTCGTAGATTACCCGAAATGCAGCTCAAAACATGCTTCCATTTGCCTCCAAGGCGTAAAGTGAGCTCAGTCAGGTCATTTTATTGCTTCTCTTCACCTTGATCTGAAATCACCGTGCACTTTCGTCGCCATGTGGGCGCACAATAGTGGTGCCCTCTGCGACCCCAATAGCACAGGCATCAGGCCTTATTAAGGGGTTTGACGCGATGTGACCTCGATTAAGGGGTTTGACACGATGTGACCTCGATTAAGGGGTTTGACGCGATGTGACCTCGATACTGACTTACCTTAACTTTTAGGAACACTACCATTGGCTTGTATAAATCAATATACTTCATGATATATTGTGTTTGTTGTAAATTTAACTAATTGTCGATATTTGACTTGATATGCGAACTATCCCAAAATCGACTCGTGAAACGTTACAGGCCTGGCCCACAGCGCCGTGTAAGCACTTCACACATATTGAGAACTCCTATTTGAAGATATCGGGCATGCTTGACGTCACCAGTGCGTCACGACCGCTCGCGAAACGTCCATTTCGCATATTTTCGCCGTTCAGGCCCTTGTAGGGACTGTGCCACGTTTGAAGATATTGAAGTAAGCATCATATATGATGAAATTAGCTCACTTAAGGCTATTGACATGCTTTGAAGTGGAGAAACTGCTCATGGGCAGCACAATTTCTCTGTTTTGGAACGTTGTTTGATTACGTCACCGTGCCTCACAAAACATTGATTGCGAGCGAATTGAAGGACGTTATGTCTAGAAAATAGTTCTTACGAACGCCGGATGCGAGCAACTCAACAGTTGAACTCTTGGAATGAAAGAATTTGAATGGCGTTGTTAGGGCGTCATGTATGCCTAGGTGACCTTGGCACGTACTTCCCGACACATTCTGCACATCTTCGCGGGCGTGTAGCTCAGAAACTGGAGAAATTTAGGTCTTAAGAAGAGCAGAGCTGTGAACTGCGCCGCATGGTCTTCAAAATGTCTGTTTCAGCTCAAAACCTTTCACAAATATCGAACACTGACAAATCAGAATAGTAGAATAAAGTCATATATAAAATGATAAAAAAATAAAAAAAATAAAATAAGAACCAAGTCCCTGGACTGCGATCTTACAAAGTAGAAACTTAAAACCTGCAGGTCAGATGAAACAAGCCGAAATATGGTTAGTGAAAAATTAAATGCGCTTTTCTCAGAAATTCGAAACAAACACCTCCGCAAAACCGGAAGGCGGGTGGGGGCGGTGGCTTGCCTTAACCTCGGCCAACGTGGGCTCTGGGTCATGTCAGGCGACGTTTTGTGCGTCAGAATATAGTTGGCTTTAAGTGATTGGCCGTTGCGATCATTTCATGTGTTTTCCTGCTGCAGACGGCGCAATAAAAGTGCGTGTGACAGCGCACATTTCAAGCATGATGAATGATTCGATTTTAAAACCAGCGTTCCGAGTTGCCCTGAGCATGTCCCCTGCATTGTCCAGCGAACCGGACGCGCCGTAGCGGGCACGAGTTTGTTTCGTCAGTGTCTACAATCTGTTGTCTAGTGTCCAGTGTCTAGTGTCCGTGATAGTCCACGAGTCCGGCGCGTCTCCGCTGACACGTCGCGAAACCCCTCGGTATCTGGTATCCCTCGCATCTGGTATCCGTCGCTCCTCATCATGCCGGACAGCTGCTGCGGACACGGCCCGCTCCGACCGCGGACACGGCCCGCTCCGACCGGAGACACGGCCCGCTATGACCGTGGACACGGCCCGCTCTGACTCCGGACACGGCCCGCTCTGACCGCAGACATGGCCCACGCTGAACGTGGACACGGCCCGCTCCGACCGCTGACACGGCCCGCTCCGACCGCGGACACGGCCCGCTCTGACCCCGGACACGGCCCACGCTGACCGCGGACACGGCCCGCTCTGACTTCGGACACGGCCCATTCTGAGCGTGTTCGCTGTCCGCAGCTGCCCGGCAAGCCAAGCGTGCGGTCGCGACACGTTCGAGGAGCCATGCAGGATGCCGCCGGTCACCATCAACCTGGAGGCGTGGGCGCCGGCCAGCTACGACCTGGACCGCGAGACGGCCGCCTACCACGGCGTCATCTACGCCGGCCGCCTCGGGCCGTCCACCAGGTGGGACTGCTGGTGTTCACGGCCGGGAGGGAGCTGTTGGCGTTTGTGATGGCGGGATTATGAAAATTCGTGATGACAGGCATGGGGGAATAGCGAGGCTTACTAGCAGGAGTGTAATTTCACATGCAGTTGGGGGGGGGGGGGGGCAGATTCAGGAACAGGGAGTAGTTATGTTTACTAGCAGGGGTGTAATTTCATATGCAGTTGAGGTAGGGCAAATCCTAGGCCCCAAAATTTAGTGGAGAGAAACATCTGGAGGGGAGCCTATTTTCAATGTCTTTTTTATTAGGTTTAGACATGTTTCGTGCCTATTTCCAAAACTTATGTTACGGAACTACTCCCCTGTTAACTGGTGCTATTTTGACGGACGAGGGCAGTAGAATACTGGCACTCACTGCCAGGGTGGACGCTACTTAAGAAAGGCTCCTGACCCGTGTTGGCGAGTATTGACCTGTATTGGTAGGTAAAGGGCAACAACCGCCCGTCGAGTTTTGAATGGCCGGCCAGGGTTACAGTTTAGGCGACGTTGGGCCCAAGAAACGGTGGGGATGATACACGAATGCATCTCCAGGAACCGATACGCTCATGCCTCTCCCCCACCCAGCACTGATTATGCGAGTGTGAGCTGATAAATTGTCCACCGCGCCCTTACGCCGGCGGTGCACCGGCGGGGACGGCTCGGCGGTTGGCGCGTTAGCGATGGCGTGTAGCGCGTGATGGAGTGTACCGGCCGTCGTGAGCGCCAGCCGCTCCACACGCGGCGTCGTGCTGGCCGTGCGTGACGTGGTCGAGCTCGGTCGTGCACTGGTCACTGGGTGCCAACGGGTGCGCACATTTGCACCCGCGTGAATAGAAGTGGTCTGATTTACTGAAATGTGCACCATTAGCGGCTACAAATCCGAGATCACTTTGAAGTTGCGCCGGAGGGTCCAGTTCAATCATGTCGTCTTCCAGATGAGCCACCCGGCTTTGAGCATGCCGTCGACAGCTATCAGGGGCGTAGGCGTGGTTCTCCAATCTGTTAACGCTTGTTGGCGCGCATCAAACCCACTCATTTTAGAATTACACAGGCGACTTACTTGCCAATGTGCTAAAGTATTCAGCCCTCGTCAGAACTTCGCTCGACATTTAATGCCAGGTTAAGAAAAAAAAAAATGCTGACACCGCGTCACTTGTACGAAGCGTGCTTTAGCCGCGTTCTCGGTTGCTTTGCAGCAGTGATGAACACGGCGGCAAATAGTGAACCGCGATTGCCTTGTCGAATGCGGCCATCAAAGAAGCATAACACTGCGCTGAGAGCACGCTGAAAGCCAACTTTCATACTAATTATTTCCTGATCTAAATGAACCCAACGGGTATGTCAGCCTGGCCCCGAAAATGCAAAGAGCGCGGTGGTCGAAACACTTAGCAGGACGCGAGACGCCGACCTGCATCCGTCTGGTTCGAAGATCGAATAAGATGTTTGTGTATCCTTTATATACTGGATCGTAGATGGTTCTGCAGCCCTGGCGATTAATTTCAACCGACAAGTATTGCCAGTTTTGCGATTTGTATTCGGCCGGACCGTCACACCAGCTAGTAATGTTCCAAAAAACTCAGAAAGTTAATTCATACAAAGTCAAACGTTTTGATTTCAAAAACTTCTCCGGCAGGCCCGGTCCCCTAAAGTTTAACGTCCCTCGCAAGGACGTTGGGTTGCCTTCGGCGCGTGCGCAACGAGTGCTGTTGTATTATGTACACAAGACCTTGACCTTTTGTTTGACCTTGACCAAGGTATTGACCTTTTGTTCGTCATGACCTTTCAAAACAAACACACGTGCCTTATTCTTGAGGACTAGCCTTGAAACGCGCACGTGGGTGGGGTTGGGACCATTCTTCACGCCCCGAAATGTTTTAATAAAATAATTTTTGAATATCGCAGTGTAGTCGCGCCAAACGTCTTATGACCAACTGAATGTAACGAATGCAAATTTATGTAACCAACTAAATAGCAGATCTTGCGGAATACAAAGTAGATGCACTATGCGAGGACAGATCTATGGCAGGTTAAATACAGACCATGGCTGTAAGCGAAGGCAGCAACTCTGGGAATTGTTCAATCTGATGCAACAACGATACATCTCCGAGATAGCTTCTTAGACAATAAAACAACCAAATGTAGGACTACAAAAAATTCCGCTGACGTAGAGTTAGATATGAAGGTCGGACCGATGCCGAAATCAGCATGCTTTTTCCTTGGAGAGCCTGCTTCATGGACAGTTTCAAATACCAATTTCGAATGTCTTGGGTAACAGGGACCGCAACAGACATCTTCCACGGACGTCTTAAAATTCAGAGTAGGCCACCGGCTTCAGATGACCCCGATCAAGCTTTGTTCACCATGATCTTCTAAAGGTCAAAGGTCACTGACCTTAAACAAACACCAAGCGACCTTTTGCTAAGAACAGGTACCTGGGTTCGAGGCGGCTGCATGAGGAGGTCTAGAGGCACTTGGGACACCAATCTTGAGCATGGCATTGTGTCGACCTTGTTTTTCCCGAAAGGCATGACCCCTGGGCCTCAAATTTGAAGCAAGTGTGTTCATATAAAGGCCGACCAACCCTGTAAATTTTGTGTCTTTAGCTCTCATCATTGGTTAAGTTATTTTTTTCAGATTGATCGCAAGGGTCAAATTGACTCCCCCCCACCCGAGCGAAGGGTATTGCGTTGGCTACCCGGGCGCGTATTGAGCTTCCCTTTCAACTGACGCAGCATCCACGTCTCCTCCCTCCCCAGGATTGGTTGGTTTCTCCAAGAGAGCGTGGCAGGTCTGACGAGCGGCATCGTCGACCACTGGAGGGCCTTCCAGCGGCCCGGCATCGCCCAGGTCTTCAACTACACCGAGCTGGAGCGCAGGAGTATGCGGCGTCATCTCCGGGCCACCGACGGCAGGTCAGGCCCACCTTGTGATAAGCGTGAAGTACTGCGTGGCTGGGAAACCAGAGGTACGGGGCTCGATTCCCCGCGATGCCCGCCCTTTTTATCGGGTTGAGGGGCGGGCGACGCCATATAGCCCCAGCAGCTGAGTGCGTCGTAAGTCCCAATGAGAACAACAACAAGGGTGAGATAGTCCGCCAAGCACTGATGCGGGTCGAAACGAGGGAGCCGTAAGCCGCCGGTTTTGCATGGTGCAACGCGCTGCCATTGACTTGGAGGCGCTGTTTTCTTGTTTTGAGCGAGGCAACTTTGCATAAGCTCGAGTGAGAGTCGTCGGAACGACGTGGCTCCACGCGAGTCGCGCCTGGAAGAAGCAGTGTGAGCCGGCGTCTGTACGGCCGTAAACTGGTGGAGAGATGATCGCGCTGTCAGGCTCCTCTTGTCGCCTGCTCGTATCTTCTCGTATCTTCTCGTATCTTCTCGTATTATCTATCTTCTCGTATTATCGTCGCCATCTCGTCTCGCAGCTAAAAACTGCTCGCTTTGCTATGACCGGCGCAAACATTTCACCAAACGTCATCACACTCGGGTGCTCCTTGTCTTCAAAAGACACTCGGGAGGCAACGAACTTGATATTTGTATGGCTCCTGCTGGTGTATCTGGCTCCGCAAGCTTTGGCAACCAAATACGTGATCAAGGTTGGGGTCGTTTTGGGTAGTCTGCTGAGCGACGCACACTACTTTCCTGCAGTGGTCTGCACGTGGCGCGGGTAGCTTGACAGGGCTGCTTTGTTTCCTTAACGGCGGCATGCCCTCTGGACATATGACCACTGCGCGGTTCTGAACCCCGCTGTTAGCAAATTGGCAATCTTCTTGGCAGCGTACGCTTTCAGGGTTGTGGGAGCAGGCAACGACGGGCAGACACACGGCCTTTTGATGGATTGATTTTTTAGGGTTAGAGCCCACGCTGATTGGTGTTGGCAGCCGTGGTGTCTGTGCCACGCCGCCTTCGGTTCAGGTGACCAAATATTTAGTGCATGGTTAAGATGTAGCCCACATCGCTTATCTAGTATATATACGCATTTTGCCGCAAGTTATGCACTGAACCTCGTTCTGCCTTGCTTGTATTACTCTATAGTAGACATACTCACAACTCCAAGTAACAAGCGAAGTCGCGGTCATAAATCACATTCACGCACATACGCCAATCGTCGATGCCGACCGCACCTACCCAGTCTCAGCGCTCTGAACAGTAGACCAGGAGGCCCAACAGCGGTGTTCCGGTCGCACTACTGCTCAACTCAGACTGAAGCGAGATGTAGCATCAATTGCTTCATTGTCTTGTCTGTTCCTTGAGTTTTAGTCGAGCTGAGCAACAGTCCGACGCTGCCATATTGGAGGTTGTGCAGCATCTACCTCGAGAGAATAAACTACAGAAGAATATATTGAAGCTTAACGCATCACATTTATTCCCTCGGTGTAAATTGCGGCTGCAGGGTGGGGCACTGTACCGTGTTTACCGCCGGCGGCCTTTTGATGATGGTCGTGGTGCAGGTCAGGTCACCACAGGTCGTGGTGCCAGAGCCGATGGTGCCTGAAGTGCTGTCCTTAATGCTCAGTAGACTAGCGGGAGCCCATTTTGCGTACTTGAACTGGCTGCCCAAATCGAGGTCCAAACGTACTGCCCAAACGTTAATGGTGGTGTCAGAGCCTGCTATGGCCGCTGTGGTCGCTGTAGAGCTGGGAACCCTTCCTCTCTGGCACCCAGGGCAGGCTAGCGGTCTGCATCCTCACCTCCGGAAGTGGTGGACGTGGATATTTGGTCGGGGTTACGCTGCACGGCTCCTGGCAACAGGCACTGGCTAGTTCTCGCCGATCACTTCCCGCGCGGGTGTGTGGTCCGCGCTGTTCGCCTTTTTGTGGCCTCGTAGAGTGTAGCGCAGCGTGTGTAGTATTGTGAGTGTAGCTTTTTGTGGTGAGGAAGTTATCAGTAGGTACGGAGTTCCATGTAGAATTCACTCGGATTAGGAAGGACGCTTTATATGGAAGGCTTTTGGGCTTTTGGACCTTGACAAGTCGTGTATAATGGGTCGTGAATTGAGCCCCTCGGCCGCGAGATGATGGCCTGCCGGGAGTTCACCACCTAATTCAGCTGTAGAGCATCGGGGAGGAAACGCTTGGACCGACCCTGATGACCAGAGTCAGGCGTTACTCCTCCGAGGGCCGTCCGCGTTGGACCAGGCGCTGCAAGATGGGGTCTCTCTCCAGTTCGGTGGCGTTGCCTGCCGAATATACAGCTGGTGAGCAGGATTGCTAGTCTGAGGATCACACGGCGGACAGGGGTCTGTTTCTCCCCTCTCAGAGCGACGATGTTCCGAATGTACCGTGGGAAGCTCCAATGCTGTGCCCGTTCGCTTTCAGTGCCTGATTCTAGGATACTCGTGAATTCGTCAAATGTGTTCGGGCTTTTTTGGAAAGGAGATTTCGGGCATTGAATTCCATGGTTTTGTTAATACCGATCACGTCTTCTTATTGGACGCATTTTGGGCCAAGCCCTGTTAGTTGATCCAATATATATATATATATATATATATATATATATATATATATATATGTGTGTGTGTGTGTGTGTGTGTGTGTGGGTTGTAGTGTGTTGTAGTGTGTTTTGTATGTAGCGTGTTTTTACTATAGTTTTAGTTCTGCATGATTTAAGGACTACAACTAACTGGTGGCAGCCTTGGTGACACTCCCGCCTCCTCTCAGTGACAAACTCACCGCAGCCCCTGTACTCTTCGTCTTTATCACGCGGCGCTGCGAAGTGGCACACTTCGCAGCACTTGTCACGCTGACGTCACGCGCATGTCGAGTCAGCAGCGGCCTACGCTGTTCCGGCAGGTACAACTGCGAGCACCGGCTCTGCCATGAGGGTCTGTTCACGCCCAGCTGGTGCCGGGCCGCGCACTGCGCAGTCCTCCTGGCGTCCTCGTTCAGTACGTATAGTCCGGCGCTGGACAGTCCTCCCCTCCGACAGCGCGTCTGATCGCATGATCTGTTTTTTGTTTTTTTCAAGAGAAGACGTTTATTACAATGACCAATGTTAAACTTCATTTACCAACACAACACGCCCAACATGTTACCAACTCACCACGTATATCTATCTACGTGTCTCTGTATGTGCGCGCGTGCGTGCGTGCGTGCGTGCGTGCGTGCATACGTGCGTGCGTGTGTACGTGTGCGTGGGCGACTGTATACTGGCTGACTCGATGATGGTATGTGCGGTTGGCTTGTCGCGTCGGGGTTCAGCTGAAGCCTGTGACGATGTATGTGCGTCTACCGTGGCAATGTTAATGCAATGTGACCATGTATATTATGATAGTATTGGAGATCAACGGTGCCGTCGTGCAGAAGTTTGCATACTTCTGCATGATGTGCTTCCATGCGACGCATGAATCACGTCTATGGCCGTTGCCGCCGTTTCCATTTCAATCATTCATTGCACGCTGTTTGCGGGTAGGATGTGGTAACCTGAAAAGTTCTCGGATCGTTTGGATAATGTTTTTGTCCTGGACGTCCCTCACCTTAGAACCTACGGCTGCTCATTTTTTAAGATGGGTGGACACATTGTCTACTTGGCCCCCATCTGAATTACTGCAGCTTTTAATTGAAAGCACTTTTTCCTCCAAGACTATGTGCTCCAAACGACTCAAACGCGGCATTGTGCTCAAGAGCACATGCGTGCTATGCACGATTCTTCGGGCAAGCCTTTCACACCACGACAGAGACGCATAACTTGTAGCTTAATGTGACCCCGTCAAATGGACCCATGGCTATCCCTCGTCGTGAATGCTAATGTGACACCTCATGACCAAGGTGTGCCCGCCTTGCTATCTGATAGGCATCAGTCGCAAGGTGTGGTGGGCCGTGGGGCTGACGCGTAATGGGCACCCAGGCGGTGCTTCATGTGGTAGCTTCGGCCGTAAACAAGAGTGGAGAAATGGACGTGGCTGCCGAAACCGACACGAATGCCACAAAGAACGCTTCTCCAGCAGTTTTAGTTCGTAACTAGGTGCTACACTTTAGCGGACGTCGTTGCCAAATTCATTGATGGTGAACCGGTGTTTGGATGCTTATCAGTCATGTTTATTTTTAACACCGTCAAGTTTGTGCTGCAATTGTGTAATTAATGTCCCTGTGAATGCATAACGAATGCGTGAAAGTACACGTTTGAAATGCCAGCCTTCGTCAAATGAATCTCTCCGCTACCCAAACCCGTCCTGCTTCATGCTCATGGCGTTTGTGCCCTTCCAGATGAGGCCAGCTATATACTGAGGACGATTGAAGACCTGCGTCTCCTCGTGCAGGTGTTCTGGGTGGGGAATGCCCTGAGCGACTTGGTGACGATGAGGACGACGGCCGGCAGGTAGGTTTCGTCCTTTTGCCCTTGTCCCGTCCTGATGACACTCGTCTTGCAGTCAAAGGCGTTCTTTGAAGTGACCCGCAGGGTGTATGGTATGTTAGGAAATGTTGTGAGTGGCTATGTTGCTAACAAATACGCCACAGATGACGTCATTAGTGTAGTTTTCCTGCTAGGGAAAGGTGAATGCAATCCAAAAAATTTCAACCATCGCCAGGATAGGAAGAGGGTCAGACCCTTCTAAGGTTTTTTGAGGACATCCCTCCAGTATGTCGTGCAATCGCGCACAAATTTTCAGTAGCAAGTGAGGCATTTCTTTGGCGTGACTTCACACCAGAGAACTGTCCCTAGCCTTTCTGCTTTCGGAACAAGAGTGATTTTTGAGGAACACTGCACGACGATCTACGGCCTGCGCGGGCGACGAGCGGCAACTGACGATGCCGCGGAACCGCGCGCGGCTGGCCAACATTGTTACATTAATGGAGCCATGCATTGCAAAGATATGGTCAAATTGCAGAAAACTATACACCATGGCGCTTCAAGTTGAGCCAGGAATACAACTATTTAAATTTTGTGTCTAAAAGACATGGCATCGTACATATGGGAATGTAAAACTAAACAATGATCGATTTTCGTGAAAATTTGAGCTTTGGTCGGGTATAATAGGCTTAGTTATTGACCTAGCAATATAATTCTTATTGTCAATCGCGAGACCTCGTTGAGATACCAATCCGCTGGTGTTTTCTGCTATACTGTATCTACCTTAGTTTGGAAACCGCAGGGTGTTGCATGCCCCCCCCCCCGTCCTCCGTTCATCAGTCCGCGTTATGCAGAACAGCGGATCGGGGCGGGGGTCAACGTACGTATTTATGTCGGTCAAGAACGGAAAGCGACGGGTGGTTACAAATCATCGTCATCCGGGTGTATACAATGCTGGGTGCTTACAATCACGGTGTGCAGGTAACAGTGTCTTATCGTTTCATCATTCAAGCGTAGGTTAATACACGAAAGTCTTGCAACGTGATTTATTGCCAAACGATCTTTATTCGCGTCCACCAATTCTAAACCGTTGACAACAGAATGCAATTTTTTAAAGAACGCACTAACGGTTACATCGTAAAAGCTCTGACATTGTGCTTCTGAATTGGTCAGCAAACATTTTGATGCATTTTATGATTCGTTCGTTTGCAACTGTGCCTTACATTTCACGGTAAATGAATGCGCGCCTGCGAAGGCATTTATCGCATTGCATAATGTCTCACCTCACCTCATAAAGCCTCACCTAGAGATGCGGTGCAGCTTTCCCATCTCATCTTCTGGTTTTCTCCTTTATTATTTCATGAGAACGTCATTTTTCGTAATTTCAAATTTAACCCAATAAATCTGTTTGATGTATCACTTCGTTAAGCTTCCAGCCATTCTAGTCATGGATGTTCTCGCGTCATCCCGCTCGAAATGCCTCGATGCGCAGAGTGCGCTGATGGGAGTGCCTCGATACGTAGATGTACTGTTTGGTACTGTGGTGATGGGAGTGCCTCGATACGCAGAGTGCGCTGATGGGAGTGCCTCGATACGTAGAGTGCGGTGATGGGAGTGCACCAAGCCATGTTGCGTGTTAGTCGCGTAGCGTGCGCGTCGCTGTTGCGGGCATGGAGCTTGGGGATGACCGCTCGATGCGCGGATGAGCTTGGTGCGCCGCGTTCGAGTTGAAGGAAGGGTGTTGCCAGCCAACTCTTGGCTGACAGACGTCTCTGCCAGCCAACTTGGCTGGTTGACCCACGGCCAGCCAGCTCTTGGCTGGCCGACACGAATGCCAGCGCTTCAAATCAGTGGACGGCACCACCTGCTGTGACGAGAATGCGCGTCAGGATGGGCGCAACAAATATCGGATGCACGTCCTTTTATTTTATACATTTTTGGGGGCGTCCGCTACTCTTGTGCGTTGCGGCTGTGGCATTCCCGATATTTAATTAGGGCTATCGGTGTCCTTTCCATTCACGGGTTAGTTATTCCCATCTGCGGACTATCACTGTTTTACACTCAAGGCTGGAGTTATTCCATTTCACGGGCTATAGTTAGTCGAGCCCCAATACCAGCGGCATTCCACATCGCAGAATGATGCTTCTGCAGCCACCAGACCAACTAGGACTAGGCCCAGCCAGTTTCATGGGTCGAAACGTTGTGAAATGTAGCTAAGGTGAGTAACGCAATGCTGTTAATTCAGGTACAAAAACAGGTTGATTATGCGTTCTCACGACTAGGAAAGTATGTTCATCACGGAGAAAGCGTGTGAGATATCACTGCTTACTCCATCAAAAACATCAAATTAAATGCTCAAGATGATTGGACCATTCTTTACCAAACAGTACAATTGCGGACCGCGAATGTAGTATATTTGTACGACATCCGGTGCGACAAAAAAATCAGCGGCTGCTAATGTGAAATTCAAGCAGGAGCAGAATGTGGACAAAAACCTGCAAGGTTTGGGAAATCAGGAATGCACAGCAGCAGCTGGCGAAGTCCATGGAGCGTTTGTAGAGGAGTAAAACCCTGCATACGATTAGCAACAAGCGTTTGGTGTCATGCGATGAACAAACTTTTTGAATGCGTATCAGGTATAGTTCCGAGTCCCACAACACTCGTGTTCGAGTATTGGCTCATGGTATCAGGCTGGTACTCAAGTAGCGACCCATTTTATAAAAGCACGCTCGGACTCGGGTGTAGGAATGGAATAAATGGCAGTATCCGACTCGAACGTAGACCCCATTTTAAGAGCATGCAAATGGTGTATTCAAGCTGAAAACTCCTGCGGCGCTTGGAAGTCAGAATTGCCGGAAGCTGAGATTTGTCAAGACTTGTTTCGGAATAAAAATGGGTTAGCTCGACCAGAAATAGGTCCTTTTCTGAGCGTGAACACTATATCATTGAATTAAGCACACCAACCCGAATGCATTGCTCGCGAATCAGGCAGGGAGAAATTGGAAATTTAATTCTAATACACCTTTCATTTCAATTTTTACGCAACGCCGGTCTGATCCTCGGTGTCTTCCAGCTTATACTAATAGATAAACAGTTATCATTCTGAATACATGCTGTGCCCGTACCTCGGTGCGTTGTACTAGCTTACATGTGACAATGCAGACGTATTTTTGAAATCAATCGCGACCGACTTTTGCAACTGAGGGTATGCCTACAAGAAATAAACTGCCTCACTTTGCTCCATACGCGTTGTGAACTTTGGTAAGGTGTAACCCGGTGTGCGCATTCCAAGCGCAAGCCTTTGAAAAATGTCTTTTGTTTTGGCATTGCCAGGTAGGCTTCTTTGTTAATATATATATATATATATATATATATATATATATATATATATATATATATATATATATATTGGAAAAAGACCAGCATTAACTCTATGTATTTGATTGCATAGACTGGGTTTACAACGGCAAGAAAAGCGCCGCTGCCATCTCCTTCCCACCATTCTCTCATCCTCCAAACATGATACCGTTCTCACTCTTAATCAGGTGCCTGTTGTCCTCGAATTTTGACACACCTTAATTCAAATTAATTTGATTTTAAATTAATTTAAGATAGCTCAAGTCCCTAGCGCAACATTACGTTATATTCGATTATAACTTTTAGACGACCGGATGCGCGGAATCTAATGCTGTGCCACGTCTTTTTTTCTGCACGCCCCAACGTTAATCTCGTTTCGACAACCTAACGCGGTCAGCCCAGTTCTACCCCTGGTCATTTCTTCTGACAAAGGAAGCATATGTGTTAAACCAAAAGCACCTTCGGAAAATACCGGGCCTTCCGTGCTAAAACACATAAACTTTGAACGAGTCCATGATGCCTGCGTGGATGTTTCACGCGGTGCTAATTGGTGCTCCTGTGTGTATTATAGCCGTTACCATTGCCGATCTAATTGCATCCCAACCAAATCTATGAAACTAATATGCAGCCCTGAATTCACTCCCGTTAGCTAGGAGTAAATGCATGGATTTATTGATGAACTGGCTGCTTGCGTCTCATGCATCTTATACTATCTTCATAACAAAGGTAGTTCCAATGCACAGCCAAAATTATTCTGCTTTCATACCGCTGCTAGTCCTCTCCTCAGACCAATGCTGTTATATCACCAGACTCACTTCACTGCTGTTATAAAACGTGCTATTGCTCACTCCCAAACTGCCCTACTGTACTTCCCAGACCCACGTTGTCTTACTCCTCAAGCCGTTGTCGTTTGACATCGCAGACCGGTGTTATTCGCGCACTACACTCCAAGCCTCCTGACACTGAGCTCATCCTACGTGGAGATGGCCTTCCCAGCGTGTCCGGCTGGCACCGTCTGCCCCACTGGCAACCGCTTCCTGAAGAAGCTCGCCTGGAATCGGCTCGAGGACGGAGCCAGCATGGCCCACAAGGTGTGGGGCGTGGCCGCGCGGAAGGAGCATTCTGATAGAGTATCTATCTGCTCTTGCTACTTGTACATCATGGACAGTGCTTTGACCAGTTTTGATGTGCGTGTTACGGCCGGGAGCTTGCATCGACCCCACGTCCAGATACTCGATGCATACAATGATTGTCATCTATGCATGCTGATTCCAGCCGACAACCGTGAAACGGACATGACTAGTCCTAGACACCGATTCTGACCTGTGTGTATCTTGTGAACAGCACCATACTTTTCGTAGTTATATATACTTAAGCCACGCATGAGTCTGATTATTTACTGAGCCAGGCACCGACTTCTCTGGCCCTCTTCGTAAATGAAAAGCTTCTTTATTCTTGCTTTCTCCTTCCACCTTATTGCTTTCCTGTAGACGCCGTCGGACATCCACCGAACACAGCGTCATTAGGATGGGCCAGCGCCATTGCCAGCCTCCAACCCGGGCTGGGCTGTTTTGGCATCCTCTGATTCGGTGCCGGACTGGTCTTACCTCTTCTGACCCAGCGCCGGATTGTTCTAACTCCGCTGGCCCCGCTCCGGACTGTTCTGACCCCTACGCTTTGCCGCAGGCGTTGATCGACTTCCACCTGACGCAGCGGCAGTACGAGGACCTGCTGCGTCTGCAGGTGACCCGGCCTGACCTCAAATACAGCGAGGTCGCCTGCGACTGGATGCGACGCAACGCGGAGGTCATCAGCAGACAGTGGCTGATGCACGGCCGGCGCAAGAACGAGATACTCATCGGCGGCATCTTCCCCATCTCGGGCAGCCACTACCGCGACCGCGGTATCATCCCAGGTGAGCCCGCCGACGTCGTATCTCGACTGGTTGCGGTTGGGGAGGGGAGGAGGTGACGGGTGGGGGCGGGAGCGGGACCGGGGATGCGGCGGTCGGGGTGCTCTTCCGTTCCGTCTGGTCCTCGGCATTGGGTAGGGGAGGAGGGAGGGATGGGAGCGGAGATGTGGCGGTCGGGATGCTCTTCCGTTCCGTCTGGTCCTCGGCTTTGGGGAGGGGAGGGGAGGGGTGGGAGCGAGAGCGGGAATGCGGCGGTCGGGATGCTCTTCCCTTCCGCCTAGTTCTCAGCCTTGGGGAGGGGAGGGGGAGGGGTGGGAGCGGGAGCGGGAGCGGGAGCGGGAGCGGGAGCGGGGATGCGGCGGTCGGAATGCTCTTCCCTTCCGCCTGGTCCTCGGCCTGGGGAGGCTTGCTGAGACCCCGAAGTTTCGCAGCGTCACGACTGCTTGGCCTCGGTGAGTGGACTACAGGATGGGCTGTTGGGACAGAGAACTCCCTCACGCAGTCGTCCTTCCGCCGCGACCCGCGCCTGTCCGATAGAGAGGAGCGTTTCTGTGTCGTATCGTTCCGCGTTGCGACATGGCACGTGGCGATCTCTGCCAGCTGTCTCTGGTTGTCTCTAGCTGTCTCTGGTTGGTGCCCCCTCGGTCAGCCTTTCGCTGTCTGCGCGGCAACATTTGTGCATGCTGTTGGCTTGAACTATGAGCATTCCTTACGGATGGAAGCCTCTCGTAATCGCTTAAAAATATTTTTGAGGCAGGATTCACGATGAAACCTTGCACTATGTTGACGCTGCTGTACCTGGCAGCACATGAAATGGTGATAATACCACTGCATCAGCGATTTTTCGAGTATTGCAAAGCTGGTCAAACTTTCCAATAGTTATTCCCAGAAGATGTGTTTTCCTGCACAGTTTTCCTAGACTAACGCGTCAGAATATCATACGCACAACTCGCTAACACCTGACACCATGCACGTCTTTCGAGTATTTTGTTTTGAAGACGATGCATACATTCGGGCAGTAGCACCCCTTGTGACGCATCCGTCAGAGGAGCATGCTCGTATCAAGTGGAGGAACAGGGTCTGCGGCGGGTTCAAAACTCTGCACGGTGGGCTATCAAGTCGTATGGAAACAGCGTCTGACATCCATTCATGGCATGGCAGTCCACGTCATGAAATCATACCCTATCATCCCAAATGGGCCTTGAATCATGTCCAGCGACGTCCGGCGGCGAGAGGCCCGCGCCTCAACGACGGACGATCCCCGCCGAAATGGGATGAATGCGCACATTAGGTCGGGCCCTGTCTGAGCCCCACGTGCCGCTCCGGCGATGTTTATGCACGCTGGGGCCCGCCGGTGACGTCACGCCGGTAACACGCTGGCCTCGGTTGGCTGGCAGAGCGTCAGCGGATGGGAAGGGGGGGGGGGAGAGGGGGGGGGGGAGGCCTCAGCTGCGCACCGGGGACGGGGGAGAGCCAGCCTGGAGGCGACTATGTACGTTACGTGGCTGTGGAACAGGTGGAGGAACCATTGCTGCCCGCCCTTACATGCCCGCCAGCTGTTTGCATTGAATGCATCTGGGAGCAGCCGTAAGCTATGATTTTGAGTGTGGAATGTACGATCATAAACTTCTCAGAAGGCATGCGCAGATTGCTTCCGTATTTTGCGGCCTAGATGGACGACTTCCAAATGTATGCAACACTGTTGCACTGCTACTGTCATGCTGTTAGGAGTTCTGCTACCATGAATTCTCACACGCACACTGGGGGGGGGGGGGGGGGGGGGGCGCTACGAGCTGAGTTGATGGGAAATTCGTGATTTCAAAATTGATGAAAAATGTTGTTGAAGTCAAACTTGTTCGTGCTATTAGGTAAAGTTAGGGCATGCCTGACATCTATTTGAGATGCTCTAATAAATTTAGAAAAAAGTAGCCGACGTCGAAGTTGTCCATGCAGTTGTGGATAGAAATAACATCCATGCCATCGATTCGAAAGCATTTGCGTATTCGCTGAATACGTTCATAAAGTGTTATGGCGATGCATTAATAGCAAGGTGCGTAGCCAGTAAGCCATATGTTTTAAACGACATACGTTTTGAGTTCTGCCGCATCTCGTTTCACAAACAACGGAATGTGACTAGCTGTGAATGTTACTTCGTTGAGGCTGGGAGGTGAACGAACGTCGCTTGTTAGCTCTGCTGGCCTGTGGGAGCGAGCTCTCATGGCTCAGCTGCCATGAGTTGATGCTGTGCTGTCGCACACCTGGCGCCTGTGGGAGCGAGCTGTGATGGCTTAGCTGCCATGAGTTGATGCTGTGCTGTCGCACGCCTGGCGCCTGTGGGAGCCGGGCTCTGATGGCTCAGCTGCCATGAGTTGATGCTGTCGCACTCCTGGCGCCTGTGGGAGCGAGCTCTGATGGCTCAGCTGCCATGAGTTAATGCTGTGCTGTCGCACACCTGGCGCCTGTGTGAGCGAGCTCTGATGGCTCAGCTGCCATGAGTTGATGCTGTGGTGTCGCACACCTGATGCCTTCGGGAGCGAGCTCTGATCGCTCAGCTGCCATGAGTTGATGCTGTGCTGTCGCACACCTGGCGCTTGAGGTCGGAAGTCAGCACCGTAACTGACTCCTCAGATATTCCCGGCTCCCAGTTTCTGACCTCTACGGGCATGAAGCTGTTGACCCTCGGGTGCTATGTTGCAAATAGCTTGATAAAGATCAATCGGGTCACCTCAACAGCTGTACATAGGTCAGCCTTAAAATAAGCTGTAATTGTACCAGTTATTTGCATTGTTGTCATTGCTCGGGGAATGACACAGGGTCAACCAAAGACACACATTTGTAAGCTTATCCTAAGACTGTGATTTAGTGGAGTGTCCGGACATTGGCCCGGGGTGGCATTGTTAAAGAAATATACGTAAATCAAAACCCGTCATCCTGCCTCACTGCCCCCCCCCCCCCCCCCTGCCCCTCTTGATCCTGTGGTGTGCCCCTGTCACCACTGCTCCTGCCTCTCCCAGCTGAAAGCTGCAAGCGCAGTTTAAACTACCGGATTAAAACTGCAAACACAGCTGTATGAAGTGTGGGTGGCCCACATAACTTTAGGAATCTAAACCATTTAGCACAACCCAGAAGCCTGACGGCAGTTTGCTTGGTCCAGGCAGGGTCCGGGGAACAGGCCTCCAGATCTTTGAGCTACGTTCCTTAGCATTCAGTCCAGAAACTACGGCGGGATACGTCCGCGGAAAACGATCCGGCCTTAGACTTTGTTTGGTTGGCATCATGTTCCTCGTGCGGGTCGCATACATTTGTCTTAGATGCCAGTACCAAGCCCGACTGCTACCTAGCCGTGGTCTTTGGTGACTGATTTATGCTCCGTTGCCTTATGCGGCTTGGCTTCTGCTCAATCGTGTACCCCCTGTGCGGCGCCACCGGGTGGACAAGTGCCCGTTGTGCGGAGCCATGGGGTGGACAGGGCTCTGGGAACCACCCGCAGGACTCGAGGCTGGGTAGCGGTCAGCGTGTACTTCTGCCTATCCCGAATTGAAAGAGGCCCTCGAAATCCATTATAGGTGTAATATCCATGGCGAAAGGTGATGATGCAGTCAGGACCAAGTGGGGCCTTGGCCAACAACGTAATACTGCGACGATCGAGGGAAGGCCCACACGTGCGTGGGGCGGGTGTGTCCGGGAGTAATTTGGCTCCAAGAGGCGGACAATGATCAATTAAAGGCTGGGAGGTCTCGGTAATATAAGGATCGGAAGGTTCGAGAGCCACGATACAGTAAGGGGCCCATTTCATGGCCGAGATAAGGTCCCTTCCAACCAATGTAGACGGCTCAGTCATATAGGTGTGCCGGATGGTTTCAAACATTGCAACAGTTAATCCATGTTCAGACCAAAACGAGATTCGAATGATGTAAATAGAGGCGCTGTCATTACCGAGAGGAGGCCGTAGAAATATTGTTTGGCTCAAGTCCGTAGTACCACAGGAAACTCTCTATTGCCGTTCAAAGGTAAAATTTCCGGTGCCTAATCCGCGGGCTACCCAGGGGCTGTACCCATAACCATCCTCTGCCCATTCCTAATCGCGTGCAGTCGCTCGTTATCCACCCGTTTGTAATTTGTTAGCACTTTAATCAGGAAGTATGGAAAACTTTCTGAGAGTTTACGCCCAAGGCAGCTTTGCGTTGATAATTGTAAACGTGGTATGAATTAAGTTTTGCTACTCTTAAAAGGAGCGAAAGCAATCACATTTCACATTTATGTCGTATTTCGTAAATTATCTACTTGTCACTTCGTAAACGTCTTACCCATACCAATATCCATATCCGCAATGCGCCCAAATTGTGCCCAACCCTGCTGTTATCCATTCCATGTAAGTACCCATCGGCTCTCCCAACTCGTGAAATCCCATAAGACCCTCGTCGTGACATATATGGTCATGCCATGGTAAATCAGGGAGCGATAGTCGGACTACGGAGAATTCGCGTCCATCGCTATGAGTGTTGAGTAGGCTGCTGTCATGTCAGAGAGGATGCCCTTATCCAGATCGCGAGGGGGTCTCCCCGTGGGGCCATGTCGACACTGGTATCGTTCTGAATTTTGGAGCCTGAAACGGGCTTGCTTTTGTCATGACAGACAATAAATTATACGTTTCGAAACTGTCGGAAGTCGTAATGAACTGGTATGAATATGAGGGGAAGAGAAGGAAATATTAAGCAAAGAAAAAATAATGTAAAAAAGAAAACAAGCAATTTGGGCCGCCTATTTCATGAAACTGGCCTCCCCTCGGCTGTACCACTGCCAGGATACCCAATATTAGCCCTGTGCTTAGTTACTGTAACGATTGTTTATTTAAAATTACCGACTGTGTTTGATGTCAAGCCTTCCAGTGTGCGCTTCACCCTTACCATGCCTCCCGGAATAGTTGAATTCTCATCAGAAGAAAGAACGCGTGTATTCTTAGGATAGGCGCAAACACCACAGACACGGCCTTCAGGCGTCAA